GTATGTTGTAATTTTAAAATAATTTCAACGTTTATGTACTAGCTAACAGACTCCAAATAAAAGTATTGTCTTGTTTTGTTTTATCTACTTACGGGGACTAAAAATGGAAAAAAAAAAACGAGAAATCATGCCTGTGAAAACAGTCACCTCTCCTTGCTCCGCACCGCAAGTGACGTTTCGTCAGGCTACACGCGGTGTGTCAAATAAAAATGGGCTACGTCAAGCAAGACACATGGCACGTGTCGATCTTGTTTGTCTAGTTTGCTTTTTCTTCCACATCAAGACGAACAATGATTGCACTTCCCCAACTATTTAACCGTGTTTATAACAGACTGCAAGATATTCTATTATTCTACACGATATCGCATGCACGAGATAGCTTGAGGAACTCATAAAAATTAAAGTAATATTTATCCTGCGACCAGACAAGTAGGATCGCATTCTCCTCTCGACATGTTTGAACAGTGTCTCAGATTTTTGACAAGTGCGTTTGTTCTTTTGTTATAAGTTGGAATAAACATTGCATTGCCCGTGGGATAAATCTTTGCCAATTTGGTTCCCGACTTGTAGTTTAAAATGAGCAAACTGTCTATTTCGAGAAAACAAGGAAATTTTCCTAAGACTAAAGCAGCAAAGCTGTCAACGTTAATGCGTACCAGAGAAGGAGCAAGAACGTTTTTGACACAGCATGGACCGTTTCCGCCGCATGTGGCGTCTCGGACGCGAATTGATCTCGTTGTATATATATACAAAAAGGATCTGCATTTTTTAAATACTACTTAAAAATACTGATTAGGATGGCAATCATGCCGCATACTAGGCCACGACACGGGAGGCCGAATTTCTTGCAGTCTGTTATAAACATGGCTAAACAGCTGGGTAAGTGCAATCATCGTTCGTCTTGATGTGGAAGAAAAAGCAAACTAGACAAACAAGATCGACACGTGCCATGTGTCTTGCTTGACGTAGCCCATTTTCATTTGACACACCGCGTGTAGCCTGACGAAACATTACTTGCGGTGCGGAGCAAGGAGAGGTGACTGTTTTCACAGGCATGATTTCTCGTTTTTTTTTTCCATTTTTAGTCCGCGTAAGTAGATAAAACCAAACAAGACAATACTTTTATTTGGAGTCTGGTAGCTAGCACATAAACGTTGAAATTATTTTAAAATTACAACATACAGTTATATCATTATCAATAATAACATTTTATTATAATATTTTATTTTCATATATATTTTTAACCCGCCACCCGCCACCCGTCACCCGCTACCCCTCACCCGCCACCCGCTACCTGTCACCCGCCACCCGCCACCCGCGGAAAAGTCCTGCCGTTTTGTTATTCCAAATAAACGGCCGCCCCTCCTGTGAGAGGGGTTTCTGTATCAAATACCCCCTTCCAAGGGTTTTTTGAACTTTGTACGGTTTTATTAAAGTTTTTAGAGCACACATCTTGCAAAGATGATAAAATGGAGAGGCACATGAGGATTTATACAAAAACTATGCAGCCCCTTCGAAACACTGAATTTTAATGTATTACTGTTTCATTGTTTAGAGAAAGAATAAAGTTCTGACACTTAATTTGTTAGTTGTCGTTATGATATTCGAACGTTTTCATTTCCGATTGGTTGTTGAAAGGATGTGCAATCAGAAAAGTTTACTTCTTCCCAGAAAATGAAAGAAAAAAACCACAATATGTCATCATCCAATTAAAGTTTACCAAAGATCTTTCCCCTTTTAATAGATTTTGTCATATGGATCCTGTGTCCTGATTGGCGGGATTTTCCACGTTGGTTCAATAAGAAAAAAAAAGGAAATCATCAATCATTTCCTTATAATAAATCGTTTGTTGACTAAGCTTGTTTAGTCAAAACACTGGAGTTTGGCCTTTTTCTATCTTTTTGTGATTTAATTGACCTTGACCTTGTCTTGGTCCATAAACAAAAAAGAACAACACCAGCCCCAGATAACTAACCCCTCTAACCATGTTCTTAACCCCAGGAACTGCCAGTCCAGTTTTTAAAAGGTGTAAAACCTTCAGTTATTGCATTGAAAAAGCTGATGAATCCTTGATTCACTGTGACTCTAATTTTCCTTAAAAAAACGGAATTAAATAGGTATGAAAAAGACCCATTAATGTCCCTTGACTTGGCAGAAAAGGCCTATCATAGCAGATACATACTGAGAAGTTAGGGGTGGGGAATGGGGAAATCTGAGGTGCCAAGAGCCTGTTTGAAAAATGTGTGAAATGTCTATATTTATGGCAAGAAGTTTGATACTCCAATTCAAGAGGATACACCCAAAGCAAGACATCATGACTCTATGTCACAATATTTTCAGATCAGTTAAAAGTATCTGAGACCTCACTTTTTCTAGGTCCCATTTGTAATTGTTAGATAAAAAAAAGTATTTTGCGGAAATAAGAAGATTTCTTACCAACTCTCCATGTATCTCCACAATATGCATCATTCATTTCTTGCATATCCAAATAATATTTACATAAACATATCAGTAAAAATTTTCATATAGCCCTTGCACAGTAAGAAAAAGCTGAAGTTACCCTTTTATTATCTGTTTGCATCTGATTGGATGTCGTGTAACAAATTCTCTCTATCTTGCAGGTTACCAGAAGGATATTTTGTCAGGTAAGGCTACTCTTCAAGAACTGGCGACCACTGAAAGTGATTGCAGCAGTGCTAAAAAGGAAGGAGATTTGGGATTTTTTGGACCAGGACAAATGCAAAGTAAGCATAGGTTTATATCCCCATAAATTTGAACTAAACTTTGTTTTGTCACACGTACTGTATCAAGAAATAAGGAGAGTGGAAGTTCTTGAAAGTAGTGCTCAAATACCCAGGTCCCAGGTATGCAGCCTATTTTAGTAGGATTTTGCATATGGGGGGATTCCCAATAATGCAAATTTCGTTGTTTCCAGTTTTTATGTCAGTGACACTGTTTTGAACTTTTGCATGGAGATCTTACATCCCATTCTATAGGAAATGCTTGATATCTAGATTTGGACTCCCTTACATCACAAGTTTCATCAGATAAAATCATACCCAATTGGGTTCATTTGGAGAGATAGCCCCCAGGTTGCCTGCCAGTCTGTCTAACACTGACCCCGATATTAATTTTATGACAAATTAATGCCCGAGTCTCACATGGAGGTCGGGTGCCTTGGAACCTGGGGGCTGGAGCCACCAACCCCTAACCCAGGTAGAAAGAACCCCAAAGCCTGCCCTACCACGAGCCCCGCCCACCACACCCAGCCCCAGCCCAAGCACCCATCACACTGAACCGAGAGTTCAGTGGAGAAGTAACAACTATAATACTACTACTAATAATAATAAGGGGTTAGGAGGAAGGGGAAAAAAAACACACTAAAACTGAGCACGATGAGCAAGAAGCCTCCTCAACACTATTTAATCTCATTATAAATTTTTTACCAACTCTACCTTGTAGTTGAGTTGATTTCAAAAAGACAAAAATTATGTAAAAGAAAAGTTTACTCAGTGATTGCAAGTTAAAACATTTTGCCAGAACCGTCTGACATAAATATTGCAATCTTGGACAAAAATGTCACAGAAAACTGTCAAAGACCCACTCATAAAAAGCAATCAAGGATGGTGCATTTTGGCCTTCTTGCAGCTTCATTCTCAGATTCAGGGAGAAAGGGGGCTGCTTTTTCATGTTATCCTGATTAAAATTGTAGACTAAAAAAAATTAATGTCAATATTATTATTAAACAAAGGAAAAATTGTCAGTAACTGGTTGGAGAACACATACTTGAGTTTCCCATCAGTGAGAGTGTCCAGTCAAAACTCATAATCTTTACACAGGTTTGTACACGAACAGTGGCTAAAAAAGTGCCACATCCTTCAAGGGATCCATCCCAGCATACCCCTTCACAAGGTGGTAGAAGACTAGGGTGTAATAAGCCAAGTTAACAATTCTGTTTCTTCACTTTCAGGGCCATTTGAAGAAGCAACGTAAGTGTGACCTTCTTGTTTTGATCTTGATTGATGCAAATAAGAAAAACTACACAAAGCTTGAATTGTTATATTTGTTATAATTATGTTATATTATGTTATAATTCGTAAAGAAAAAACAATAGAAATTAACCCATTCGCCCCGTAACCGCCCGTGCGGATCCAGGTCCTTTCTACCCTTTGTGACGTCATCAGTTTTAATGGTCAAGGACAACTTTCTTCGCTAACTTGTGTAGAGTGAAGAGATCTTTCAAACCATACCAGAATGAGCACAATTCAGTCAAGGACACCGGAGAAAGAAGCAAAAAACCACGTGACATTGACCTGAAAATCTCCATGAAAATCTTGTTTCATTGCCCACCTACCTTTCCTTTCACCTAATCCTAAGATCCTAAAAGCTTTCCTAAAAACTCTTCCCACCACAATGAAGCCTACTAAATGCCCAGCAAGAAAAAAAAAATGAGGCAAGAAAAGCGAAAAAAGAAGGGAGTAGAAAAAGCGAAAACTAAAAAGTAAAAGTCAAGACTGCTGTGTCACTTTTAAACCCGAAATTTTGCTTTCTGCGCATGCCCGAACTTCGCAAGCTGATGTTTTGCTTCTGGATCAGAAGGCCGCCAAGTGTACGACCTGTAAACCGGTTTGTGGTAAGTTTTAGCCCTTTATAGCACGACAGTGACCAGAAAACAACTCGACTAGCTTCAAAACGCGTTTTTCGGCAAAATCTCCAGGAGCGAATGGGTTAATGTTTAATGAGTGTTTTTATATCTTATAAAGACACGGCTAAACTTTACGTCCAGTTTTTTAGACCAAAATAACCCCAGAATATTAGTTCAAGAATGAGTTGATCTATAATTATGAAAGATTTTGAAGCCATTCAAAAAACTCGCAGTCATGTATTATCAGGTTTATTATCAGGTTTAAAAACCTGATAATACACTTCTTTAAACAGTACTTTTCTAACAGACTTGTTATGCCATTACTTGGATTGACTGCTGTAGTTAATAACACAGCACTATAATTATCTGGTTTGTTTTATAAGCCATTGACAATATTTAATTGCCACACCTTTCTCAATTGATTTTGACATTCTGTCACATGACCTTAGACAAAAATGTTCTGGTTTATGGCCAGACATTCAAGACTGTAGTTTCTGTTAATGGTTAAAGCCAGCCTGTGATTGGATTTCTATGCATGGTCTCCCTAAGTCCTCTTCTTATAATACTCTTGTCTTCCCTTTTGAGGGAAGAAAGGTGTGACAGTTTCTTTTAGGAGTTTGCCATCTGCTGAAATAATATTGAGGTACTTGTGGCATTTACATCACAGATCACCTGACAAAATGTTGTATATTACTTGAGAAAGGCACTATGATAGGTGCAAATACATACAGCAGAGTTCTACTTGCAAAACCTTATTTTAAACTGCTTACAACAGCCATTCCCATAATGAAGCCAGCATAAAGGGTCTGCTAAAGAAAGGTTCAACTGTTTAAGCTTGTCCATAATGAGCAGTGCTTGTTTTTTAGCCACTGAGAGGAATTTTCTTGTTTAGTTACAATGTAATCTTTTTTCCTTCACAGTTTTGCCTTGGAAATTGGCGAGTTAAGTGAACCAGTCTTAACAGACTCTGGAATTCACCTCATTCTCAGGACAGGATGAAAAAAGCCACAACTAAAGATGATCAGGCCAATTTAATAAGGATCACATAACAGCGTAGCCTCAACATTTGAGGAACTGTTAAGTTAAGCAAAACTGCTACAGCCTTAAGTGTTGCACGAGGCATGACATAGAGTAATATGAATAGTTCATAAATAAAAATACTTTGCAGGTTATTGTGAGTAGTGTAATGCTTGTGTATTAGTTCCAGTAAGCAACTTTGTTGTTTGTTACTTCATGTAAAAGTAAAGAGAAAAGTAAATTTTTGGGGGGGTCACCAAATGATCAACTTAGAAATTAAAAGTGTTTGATACTTGCTAAGTCATCAAGTGGCTTATAAAGTATCTACCAGTTTTCATTAGCACTGTGGCAAACCAGTATAGAGCTAAGCACATGCAAAACCAGAACAAACAATGGATAAAGTTGTTTTAAGTTTGAGTAACCCATTAGAGGATGCAAAAAACACTATTACTACAAGTACAGTACAGTTCAATTTTTTCACACTTTACACAGACTCCACACAGGGCTGCACTAAGATTTCACGTTACCGGGTGTTTATTTATTTAATAGTGGGGAATTGAAAAGCTAGGGAGTTCTTTTGGCTCGATTTTCCTCTTGTTCCCTGATGAAACTTGCAGGGGATTATGCTCATAGTTTCAAGTGAAACAGTGGCTGATGAATTTAGCTATTTTTACCATGGCAAACAACTAACTTGTGACTACAGCTGCCTCTCCTTGTCATGAGGGAACAAGACAATTTCTTGTTGCAAGTGTATCTTCAGAGGGATACCTCATAAGCCAAAAAAGTCTAGAAAAACATTTATTTGTAAATGACCCATTTGAATAGTATAAAATACTCATGCAAACAAAGTATGTGCCAGATTTAAAAGCACTTCCTTATCAGAAACCTGAAAATTCCTCCTTCCAACAGCTTTTTAAGAGTTTAGGTCTAATAAAATTGCCAGGCCCTATTAACTGGTATGTACTCTATAAGCAGTGGTTTCTCCACACCTTAGTGTACCTCTACTCATAGGGTAACTGGTATAATGCTTAAAAACTAACTTCATGCTATGATTCTTCCCCATTTTTTTCTGTCTCTGCTCTGTCATCTTCCTTATCATTTTCTTCTGTTGTCTGCTTCTTGTCCTCTGTCGTCTTTTGCCGCTTTGACTCAGGCTCAGTTTCACTAGCAGTGTCACTCTTTTTTCTTTTTGTTTCAGCTGCTGCTTCTTTCTTGCCTTTCTGCTCTTTCCTAAATACTGTAAATCAGTTGAGTTGGTTAGCAGTTGGTATAAGCAGGAGGTTGTACTTCCAGTTTGGCTGGACCAACATTCAGTGTTTTTTAAACATAAACGAAGACTATAAATTTATTCATCTTGAATTGTTAAAAATGACTAGTGATGACAAAACTGAAAACGCTGGACCACACTATTCATTCATTGAATCAGGCTCATTTGGATGAGAGGGCACTTTCCATAAGGAGCAAGGAAAGGCAAAGAGAATAATGAAGATGAATTTAAATTTTCTCACTTTTCAAATTTTTGTTCTTCCTTAATATGTTAAACTTCTATTACGTTGATCATCAGTAAAGATGCCATCTATTGTTTCCACAAGATATATATATTCTCCTATATATACTATAGCTAGCCACTAATTGATTAACTTCTACTAAGTTGATCATCAGTAAAGATGCCATCTATTGTTTCCACAAGATATGTTCCTATATATACTATAGCTAGCCACTAATTATTAATCAAAAGATTGCCTGTGAGGATGGGGTAACTGTGTCATGATGTAAATCGAGTACATAAGCCTCTTCATTGTCACGTGTTGGTCAGTTATATGCTGGCTGCTAAGATGGTAAAGCTCGTCATTGTTACCCTAATTCCCCTACACCCTAGCAGTTTTTGGAGTGTTATCATGGTTATTGTCAGTTTCCTTTTAAATATTCATGTCTGCGGTCTGTGACAATGAACTCCTTGTTGCCAAAATCTTTGTGGTCTATGGTTAATGTAACAACTTGCCAATAACGTTTTATAACAAACTGACTATTTCTTTTGAATATGAGGTTCAGTTACATGACAGAAACGTTTTTATGTATTCCTCAGGGACAACTGTAAATAATTTATGGTTGGGAGGATCACTGGTTAAGAGAAGACATTCAGATCATTCACACTTCGCTATCATCAATGCAAAATAGTATCCCTTCCGCAGGTTACCTTAGAGAATCAAAGTGCATACAGTGCATAGTTCAGTGCAGTGTGTATAAACCACTATGAATGGAATCATACTCACAAGCCAGGCTGTCCTTAAGAGGTTTTATGAACTGGCTAAATTCCATCTCCTCCAAAGCCTCAAACACATCAGTTGCTGTAAGAGTTTTTCTCTTCTGCTTCTGTGCAAAATTGTTTGCACTTTATGAAAGAATTAAAACACAGAGTAACAAAATGTTAAAGATTTAACTGAAAATAGACAGAAAGATTCCAGATAATAGAGCTGCAATCATCGCTTGAGCTTAAAGGAGTTAATTAAATTGGTATCCACAATAATTAATTAATAATTACAGTCTACACTAGCAGTATTGTGACTCTGACTGCTATGAAAGAGATGCATAAGTCAATAGCAGCTGGGGTTGTCAAAAAGTTGTTGAATTAGGTGACTAATTTTGCCATCTTTTACTAAATAATCAGAGGAATAGCCCAGCAAAATACCTGGCCAAAAGCAGGGGGTGATTTTTCCCAGCTGTTGTCTATTTTTGACAACCTGGAAATCGTACGATTTCCTAGCAGATGTTGCTAAAAGGTAAAATGGAAAGGTAAAGAGTCGGCTTAATTTACGTTGTCATCTGACTAACATACCGAAGGCCAATAGTGCACTCCATTAGTGATGTATTTTAGGGGTATTGAAAGCTATAAAGCCACATGAAAACGAAAAAAACTAAACAAGGATTTGAGGTCGATCCCATGAATTCAACTCAGGAACTCTCACACAGAAGGCCACACAAAAACCAACCGCGCTATCCTAGCTCCTAATACCCATATCTACACAGCTGAGAAGCAGCACAAAAGGCAGACCAGTCTACCATCCATCATTGTCAAAATATATTTGAACAGTGCAGCACCCACGGTTGTCAAAAGTAGCCCGCTACCGGCAAAAATCGCCGCCTACTTGTTTAGTATTGGCCGGCTACTCTGCTTGGCATTTCTCTACAGATGGCATTTTTTAAATAAAATATCCCTGGACTGGCCGCTTACTTTGACAACTCAGCTGTCTACTTCAAAACTTTCTGATAACCCTAAGCACCACAATTTTTTATACATACCATGATGTAGCATAAAGGACAAACACACTTGCCGCTTTTCCAATCGCAGTTCTAGCTTCTTTGGCAATATTAACATTTTCAGGGAGCTGAAATATAGATGGGAATAACTTAAACCTGGCAATCAAACCCTCTTAACTCTTCAACTACACAAATGTTCTCATAAAGCACAAGTCAATTATTAAACCAAGAATGACTGGGTTATTCAGAAAAGTTGAAATTATTGTTGGTAGTATATATTTAAACAAAAGATCTGACACCTTGGATAACAACAAAATGACATGACAACATAAACTATTGTTTATTTCATGGCTACAACCAGTGCAATTTGATATCAGAAATTCACACTTACAGCATCTTTTGCAAGACGTGCAATCACTGCATTTGGAAGGTTCAGATCTTCTGGTTTCTCTGCCATAGGTACAAAATCTGAAAAGAAAATCACCTTTTCACCTTAAATGTTCACTTTTTCAATTTCCAAACAATTTACAACAAATGCTCATACAGAGGAACCTCGATGTAACAAACCTCTATATAACAAAGACCTCGGTATAATGAACAATTTTGTTTACCCCAGTAATAGGAAAATATATGGAAAAGTGCCTTGATATGACAACACCTCATTATAGCGCACAGATTTTGCCAGTCCCTTGGCACTTTGTTATATCAAGGAGAATATTGTCCCAAAAAACATCCTAAACAACAACATTGTTTAGGATCCCTACAAGAGATACACTGTCAGGGGCACCCAGTGACCAAAATTAATGTTTTTAAATATGTCAGAATAATTTCATATGGTTTTCTCTATGCTTTAGAAGCCAGTTTGGTTAATTTGGAGCTGCCCTTAAATCTATTTATCTGTTTGGATGCCTCAGGGGAATTTGCCTGCCTCAGAAGTTTTAAATGGCTTGTTTGTCTTATCCGAGACTGTTAGCTACCCTGATGGGTCTGGTCAAAAATTCAAGGACATGGAGTGGTCTGGTCAAAAATTCAAGGACATGGAGTAGCCATACTTTCACAAGATTCTAGTGGTTTTGTCTTTATACCAAAATTTTCAGGAGACCTTTTTTTAACAATCATTGCAATATTTGGAATTAATTAAATGTCGAAAACACAACCTCTGAAAATTGTAGGTAAGGTAACAGAAAATCTAGGAATATCTACAAATGTGCACGTAAGATGAATGGAACAGTTATCCAGAAAATTTTAGCCTTCCTCAAGCTTTAGAAATTTCTAGGCATTAATTGCTCCTTCAAACAGTTATTTTCCAGAAAAATGTCATTGGGTGCCCCTGCACTGTATCCTGTTCCAGGCTCTCAGTTCAGCCTTTTCCAAGCGTTCAGATAGTGGAGAGCAGTGTGAAGTGAAGAAAGCGATGAAAAGTAGAGGGGAACTGGGGAGAGCAGTGCCCCCCTCCCTCGCTTTTATTTTTTCGCCCTCCTTTTTACTTCACGCCACTCCCCACTATCTGAATGCCTGGAACAGGCTAAAAATGACCAAAAAGAAAAAAATTATATGATCGATCATGAATAAAAGCTTATTCTTAGTTCAATCTTGCTATTAAAAAATTTAATGTCTTCGAGAGATTTACCTGTTCTGTATAATAAGAGAGATTGCTCCTTGAAAATTTCTTTACAACTATGCGAGAGTCACATACAGTCCTATAAACTTTTTAAAAATAAAATAGCAAGCAAATGATTCCACAGAAAATTAAACATCAAGGTCTTTTGGCATGGTCTGCTTGTTATTTGGCTGTCAGAGAGGTTCTATGAACTGTATTGTAGGTTTCTCCCCTGCCTCACATCAAGGAATGTAAAACAGACATATGATAGGTAGCTAGAGGTACAAGAGGGCTAACAAGTGAAACCCATTCAAGTTTGGCACGTAAGATAAAAATACAGCACCAACAAATTTAGTAACCTTGACATTCAGGGCCTCTTCACATGAGCCCGGTTACTGGGACAAATTTCACCTTGGGTTCATATGAGAAATTTCAGCCTGGTTTCTGAGATGAGAAGCTCTGGTGCCAAATTCAAGAAACAAAACAAACATGGCAAAACTTTCACACCTATCATAGCTTTGGCAACTCTTAGAGCTGTATCACTGATGTTAAATGGAATGCTTATGATGTGGAAAATATAGCAGGCAATGCAAGACAATGCCATCCAGACAACTAGAATTCATCCTGCTTTCATCCCGGTAACCGGGCTGAAGTGTTCATATGGCAAAATTGAACTACGCCAGCCCGCTCTCTCACACGAACACATCAAAAATTTTACAAAGGATTTTAAATCTAATAGAGGCAAGGCGAGATCTTGGAAAACGGACCAGCTTGGTCAACCGGGCTTATGTAAAGAGGCTCTCAGTTTGGTGTCAGCTTACATGACATCATTTTACAAAAGATCAAAGATTGCCGCCCTTATTGGCCTTTAATACCTATTTTACAAGCAACTAAGTGTTCTCAAACACTTCAAGAATTACCCTTTATTTCAAGGAGATTGAGCAATGCTATTTAAATGTTCAAAAACGTTTAAAAACTAACCTTAAACCTCGTCGAAACCTAAATTCTAGCTGTTCTTCACTTTTCCCGCGAAATCTTTCCCGGCGTTCACTTTGCGCCGTTACAGATTGAAAGTATCAGTGGATTTTATTGGCTACATTCCACGAACATTCAACCAATGGAAAAGCTTCTTATGCCAAACCAAGTTTGAGCCGTTATTCATTTTCCAGCGGATCTAAAGTTGGTCATGCGCAGAACCTGTTAGAAGGCCCATGTTGATTTTCGCCGCCACTCCGCTGCCACTCTTCAGCAATTTTAAAGTGAATTTAGCCCTGAAGTTGCAAGCTTGAGTGACACATCTAGGATCTGTTTCTCTTCGGTAAGGAGCAAAGAGGTGCAAGTATTCATTTTACTGTGTCTAGATTTTTTGGGTCCTAACACGTCGATAATCACTTTTCCACCTCGCTTATTTTAACGATCAAAGGGTGAAATTGTTTTTATATTGCATTGAGGTTTATGACATCTCCTTTCTCAGTTAACCTTTGCTGCCGACTTTCATTGTACACACTGCCTTCTTGGCCACTGAATTTTGTTATTTGTCTTATTCATGATCCTTTTTACGTTTTACATACATTCGTAGCCGGCAGACTTCATAGTCGTAAGCAAACCTATCCAGAAAGATGAGCAGTTCCGAAGAAGTGTCATGGATTTCTTGGTTTTGCGGTCTTCGTGGCAACGAGTTCTTTTGCGAGGTAAATGCCGCTCTAATCGCGGTCTTTGAAATATATTTGTAGTTTTTTCACTAGAGAAAGAGCTTTGGTAGACGTCACATGTTTAAAGTATTTTTGGAAAGAACTTAATTTATTTAATGGTGGCCCGAAAGCTCACAGCTGCTGTGTTTTAGTTCCTCTCTGTTCCTGCATTGTTTTAGTTCCTTTGATGATCAGCAATTTAATTTCATCATTCTACGTATTACGCTAGAGCCAAAAAAGCTATTTGACTTCTCAAATTGCTTTTTTGTGACTAATAACGCTGATATGATATGCAAGGACATGTTAGATCGAGATGGCAAAGTTTTTGTTATTTTATTGTTGTTTTATTTTGCCATACACACAAAATATGCATATAAAATTTAAAAAATGATGAGGCAAGGGAGCCCAAGGAAGCCAATAAGGCTTGTGTATAGGACCACCTTTAAAATCATGTTATCTAGTTAACATTGGCAAGAGAATTTAACTCTTAGTATGCACAATTTCTTTGGAACTTAGAAAATAATCATTAAATAGGATAAAATAGAAAAGACTGAATGTGTAAGTGCAAAAACGAAAAAGAAAGGGTGAGAAAAAATAATACAAGAATAATCGAGAAAAAAAAATTAAAGAAGCGAAAAACTACACACAAGTATTAAGAGAAGTTACTGAAGTGTGCTTGTACCAAGAAAAAATGTCTTAAGTTTAAAGTTGAACAAAGCAATACTGAGGCCCTGCCAGGGTAAATTCCGTCAAGCGACATCGCCCAAAAAGTAGCGACAGTGCGTAAAATGAAATCGCGACAAGAGACAACCTCCCTCGGCCAAATTGCAACAGTGACGGCAAAGCCAAAAGTAAGCCCCCACCCCCGGCAGGGCCTCAATACTAGAGGCATTCTGAATTTCAGAGCTAAGGGAATTATATATTTTGGGCCCTTGAAAACAAAGTGAAAATTTCTTTACATTTGTCTCTGCAGTAGGGCAGTTAATGAATTCTTACTTCTAGTGTTATATGAATGTACATCACAGTTAAGCAAAAACATGCCATTGAAACTTAGTGTTCTCCTTAAATTTTAGCTCAGCAGGTAAGGGACCATTCTTGACTGGTAGGCCAAACACACGCGCCAAAGGCGCACTCTCCTGGAGAGGGAGCTTCGCGTTCTTAAAGGCTTTTATTTTCAAGCATCCTGTCAACCAAATGACCAAAAAGTATTTTAAACACCTCAAAACAAAGAATTTTATGAATGAAGGGGCATACCTTTGTTGCTAGGGTCAATTTAGTAACATAAGTTGCGTAAGTCGCGAACTTTTCCTGCTGGTCGCGAAAGTCTAAAATTGGGACAGAAGCCCACGAAAAAATTGTTAGCCTACAGTGCTTCGAAAGGAACTAATCAGTAGTCAGAGAGAATAGCTGTGAATACTTTTTGTTGTGCCATATTTACTTTCTTTTCTTGTTAGGATCGGCTTGGATCACAACTTGTGTACTTTTTGAAACAACTTATTTAATTTTAGTAAAACTTTAAGTGGTTGCAGGCGGTAAGACAGGGTTGTCATTAAGAGCCGGGGGCCGGGGATTTCCCCCGGCTACTAAGACAGTGGCGCCCGGCTACTTTTATTGGAAAATAGAAGAAAAATAGAAAGAAAAGAAATCCCTAGTCGTTTGATTCCCCGCCTACTTGTTGTATTTACCCAGCAACTTGAAATCTTAGTGACAACCCTGTAAGAAGTGTTGCTTCAAGCGGTAAATTTTACTGGTTACGGCCTGATAAGGAGAACACTGGAAACTATTAGGAAGGCGGCTATTTTTATATAGATACATACTAAGTTTTCAAATAGAGTGTATGCCTAATTCCAAAAATGTTTGTTTTGGCATTGTCTTTTTGCATGTTATATTAACAAAACAGAAACAATTATGACACCAAGAAAAACACAAACAGTTGGATTGATTACCCAAGCACAATGGCTCTGTGTTTGTTTTTTTTAAATTCTGCCATGTTTCGTTGTCAAGTCCCTGACTGATGGCTTGGTTAGTCCAAGTGTGACCACCTTCGCCCACATTTGTTGGTCATTTATCAGATTGTGTGTTCCCATGGCAGGGCATTTGTCTTTAAAGATCTACCCTGGGTTGGAGAATTAGTCATTGCTGGAAAAAGTTTCTTTTTTTGCTACTTTAAAATAGCAAAACAGTATGGCACATTAACATGTGAGTTCATATTACACGTGCATAGATTGGGGAGATTTAATCATTCACAATTTGGCTTTTTGCATAAAGTTACAGCTCAAATTTGATTTTAGGTTAATTTTGATTCAACTTAGGTTTATTCCCATTCAGGTAAGGTTTATTAGGTTTATTTTTGTCTCAGAGTCATAGCAAGTGTTTGGCTTATGTGTGTTGTATGATTTGTGTTAAAAGGTTGATGAAGACTACATTCAAGACAAGTTTAATTTAACTGGATTAAATGAGCAAGTGCCTCATTACAGGCAGGCCTTGGATATGATACTAGATATGGAGCCAGGTGGGTTTCCAGATGTTTGTATAGTAACCATTCACATACAGTGTAAGTGTAAGCGTCACATTTTGCAGCCTTAATTACAAATTAATTTTTGAGCCATCAGAATATTTCACTAATAATACTCCCATGGCGCCATGGCTCGAATTTAATTTTTGGATCACTAACCCTTCGGGTTAGTAGACATATTTTTTACTAACCAAATTATAAAGTTTGGTATCCAAGATCACAACTAAAAAATCTTGACAATCTTGAAATCTCAAATATTGAACATTTTGTCAATAACCACTAGAACAAATTAAAAATTAGTCGAAACTGCATGGTGACCTTAAAAAACTTTGATAATTAAGCGCCTAGTTTATTTCCCTCTCGTAAAAAAAGAACTGTTTTTATCTGCTAGAGAAGGAAATTCCCGGCAGGCGGTACAGAACATGTCCTGTTTAGTCTCGTCGAACTGAAGCCACGCAAATGTTTTCTTCCACTCCTGTCAAAATGATCGGCCCTCTTGTTTCCTCTTTTCTTCGTAACGCTTCCGGGAGCTCGAGTCTTCCATATCTTCTGTTGTCTTTGGTTCCTTTTCTTGACATTCTTCTTCTTCACCACAGTTACTTTCAGCTGGAGCCTGCCTTTTTCTAATAAATCTATCCAAAGAACTCTGCATAATTCAATGCCAAACTGCCAGTTAACCTCGCAAACAGTAACTTCGAAGCGAAGATGGCGGATCTGATATTGTAGTGTCCAGATCCCCACATTCGACACAAACTCGTCTCCAGGGCCTTAGCGCTCAAAAGGTCTGAAAAGTTCGATTCGATCGCAAAGATGGCGAGAACAAATTGTTGAGACAGAAAACAATCTCATGCAAGAAAACAACACAAAAATCGTTCCTAAAAATTAACATTTACTTGTAAAAAGGTTATTTCTATAATATAATTTGAATATTTAAGAAAATTTTTACTAACCATGTCAGATTAGTTGGACACATGTTTAGTAACCAAATGTTGAAAATTACTAACCGTTGGTTAACGGGTTACCGTTAATTTCGAGCCCTGCATGCCTTGCTGTGCATGACAAATATGAGGGTATAAATAACAGTGACTTTACAGTTTTGACTTAGAAGACTATCCAATAAAATTAAGGAAGATCCTCGAAAGATATACTTGTTCATTGAGCAAAAATTATAAAAGTTTTAAAATGATTAAGACCACAAACTCTCTCTCTTCCTTGCATTCTCTCCTCTTTTTGTTCTCAATTCTCCATTTTGCTTTGCTCCCCGATATCTGAACGCTTGGAATAGTTTAGGACTTGTCTTTATTTCATTTGAAAAAATATTGTAATGATAGAGATGTGATGGTAAATTTTGAGCCTGCTGAAAACTTGAGAAAGATGATTTTTCAGTCACAGACACAGGTAACTAGAAGGTCATAGGTTCAACTCCTATTAGGAGCACTCTTATTGTTTATTCCAAGCCACCTGCATCATTGTCTGAAAAATCATCTTTTTATCATTTTTGCAGTACTGTTTGAAAAAAATAGGAGTGTAACATTTTGAAGAATAAGGAAAACAAACACACAACGGTTTGAGAGCTTCAACACTTTGTAAAAAACTAATTTTGTTTGTGTTTATTCTAGGCTTGAAACAAAAGTTGCATCAGATGAAGTGAAGGTGTTTAAGCTGCTGGCTAGGTGGAACAGGGTTAGCTTTACTTTTGTGTTAATGACTGTGCTTTTTTCATTGTAGATGATGAACTGGAGGATAATCCTAACCAGAGTGATTTGATAGAACAAGCAGCTGAAATGTTGTATGGTTTGATTCATGCGAGGTACATATTAACCAACAGAGGCCTTGCTCAAATGGTTAGTGTTCTGTTACCAGTGTCATAGATAAACCTCTCTGCAAGCATTTCTTTGGTACTAAAAAGTAACAGGGTTGTCACTAAGATTTCAAGTTGCCGGGTAAATACAACAAGTAGGCGGGGACTCAAACTGCTAGGGATTTCTTTTGGTTGTATTTTTCTTCTGTTTTCCAATAAAAGTAGCCGGGGAAAATAATAATAATTACCTGGCTCGTAATAATAATTGTTACTTTTTATTGGCCAATAATGATTGGTCTCCTATTCAGCAGCCACCCTTTATGAAAAAAATTGACCAAAAGGTAATTTTATTTAGAAAACCCATAGTTGCGTTCTATTTGAAACAATATCAGCAAATTTCTGTGTATTTTGGACTTGCCTTTGTCTGTACATGTATTTTTACTGCCATTGTTTTTCGAATGACCCTCTAGTTTGTAGCCTGTTAACACCTCCATCAAGGTGGCTGCTCAAGACAGTTTCCACTGTATTCAATATTTACTCGTACGTTTCTTTTTCAGCTTGAAAAGTACCAGAATGGTGATTTTGGTCATTGTTGCCGAGTTTACTGTGAGAATCAGGCAGTCTTGCCCATTGGTAAGTTGAAAAAAATGAAGGCTACAGATGTACAATGACTTTAGAAATCTTTTGGAACTGTATGATTTATGTACAATGCAGGGTTCTCATTAAGTTTTAAATTAGACAGTTAGGATGTAAAAGTAGGCAGCTTGGCAATCAAGTGCTGTAGGCAATTTCAGGCTTTCACTCCCTCGCTGGTCCATTTCCCCCCAATAGTAGACTGTTCGGACCTCAAAATAGCTGGTTTTTCAGCAGGTGACCAGCACTTATTGAGAACCCAGACAATGTAATGGTATCATGTTAATCTTTGTATTAGGGTTGTCTGATGTACCTGGAGAAGCCATGGTAAAGCTTTACTGTCCAAAGTGCATGGATGTTTACACACCTAAGTCCTCAAGGCATCACCATACAGATGGTGCATATTTCGGTACAGGATTCCCACACATGTTGTTTATGGTTCACCCAGAATACAGACCCAAGAGGCCTGCCAACCAGTTTGTACCAAGGTACAGTAATTGCCTTATATTTGATTAGTCGACTGCATTTCAAGACTTGAGCAAAAAAGTAATGGTTATCAAATGGTGCTTTTATGTACTGTAAATGATCTAATAGATGTCCTGGGTGTCTGTTTAGTTTTGGAAGCGCGAGCAGGGGTGTTAAATAGATAGGAGGTGTTTAAGAGAGAGAGGCGTTTTTTCTCATAACAAACTCCACAAAACTAATTATATGTATTTGGTGAATATATCACCACAGTCTATAAATAGCAGTCTATAGTGGCTCCATCCAAGTAGGCCATTTAAATCAATGTCAGTTGAACAAGATGTACATGTAATGTGCAAGCTCTTGTTTTAATAATCCAACAAGAAATTGAATAAACTGAATGATTTTGCTATATTTCACTATTTCCTAACATTTTAGAGCAACTGTCACGTGGGACATTTGATAGACAGGGGGGCATTAAAGAGGGGGTTGTAATACAAACTTAGATGCATAGCTGGTCATTTATTAGACAAGAGACTGTGGTGTTTATTTGAGAGAGGGCATCTGTTGGGTCATCTACATGGTATTGAACGGAACAGACCAAATCCACTGCCACTGCCGTTCTTGGTTTTTGTAATTTCATAGTTAAATAACTCAAAAGACACCCTTGAAAATGATGCCTGACTGGCGAGTACAGAAAGAACTTGAGTTGTTCTGCAACTAAGCCACCATAGTTAAGATCTGCTCATTATGAACTGAATTACAGTACCATGCTCAATTTAGAATCTAGACTTGAAACTTAAACATAACTCGTAGTTCCGTTTCTTGGTTTACAGATTATTTGGATTCAAAATTCATCCCATGGCATATCAGATCCAGTTACAAGCGGCTGCCCAGAGGGGGAGGTCTGCATCTGCCCGCCCACGATCAACCAAGCCACACTATAAATAAGAGCAATAATTATTTTTATATTTCTAAAGCCCTTGTGTTAGTTTCCTGAATCAAAATGTTTTGTTTGTTGGACTATTAATGTGCAGCTGTGCATCGTAAATACAGTGTAATCACAGTTAAGTACACATATAATGCACCTAGGGTGTAAAGTTTTATCAATGTGTTGTTCCAGAATAATAATGTTCATGATCGTACTGCTCCCACAGAGAATTTTGTGCTATTGGTTTGGTCTCCACACCCACCCCAACTAGAATTCAAGTTTAGCTTTGAAATTAAATAATGATGGCCTAATCCTTCCCTCCTCCCCCTCCCTGGGTATGCTCAATGACCCTCTGTAGGGATGGTAAGGATATTTTCTGGAAACACACAATAAAATAAATGTGAGGTTCATTGTTTACAAGACTTATTCGACGGTTTGGTGATTGTTCCAAAATTTATTGAAGACATTAACAACAAATTAATGCTCTAAATGCTAGTATCAAAACAAGGTTCTTTTGAAAGTGTACTTTCTTTACGGGAACATGTTGTGGTTCTAATGAGAAAGATTTGTTTTTGAACTCAGATATTTTATCCTTAATGATAATTTTCTTTATTTCGTTAACTAGCAATTTAAGGGGAAATCAGGTCTTGGTCATGGAAGGACTTTAGCAAGCACGATGATAGCAGTGAAAAGGGACAGCAAAAAAACATGAGGTCTATAGGGGCGTAGCCACCTTTTCGACTTGTTGTAGGCCTGGCTGACTTTCATCTCTACTCCTGAAAATTAACTAAATTGCACGCATGACTAGTATGCACTGACCTCATCAACACTTTGAGCTCTTAAGGTTTGTAGCTCACCCCAACAACACATAATTTATTACAAGCGGTACAGTATTGTAGGTCCGGGCCTACAGGTCTATAGGCTGGCTACGCCCCTGGTCTATGTCACTTGAAAGCTGTTCTTACTAATTCAGCTCCTGTATAGTAAATTAGAATAATCACATAGAAAGGTGGTTTACATGAACAGAATTTGTCGGGTTTGTTTCTGTTGTCATCGTGCTTGTTTAAGTCCCCAAATTTAGGTCTTACAGTGTACTTAAAATTTGCACATTTGATAAATAAGAAAGAGTACTTTTGGATAAAGTTAAGCATTTTGTTTTTGTCTTTTTGTTGAGTAAGATATGTGGTGGTAGCTTCTGCTTTCAAATGAAAGTTTGTATATACACATCTAATCTTTTGAGTCACCACTGTGTACTTTGCATTCTGCCTCTGCTATTGAAACAAGCGAATTAAAACGGAGTTCTCAGGCATCTCATGAATTCCAAACCTACTTGTGACGAGTCTGGTGGCCTTTTTACACTTTGTACCCTGTACAATAAAAAATATCAGTATGCAGTGAATTTTACCCCCTCAAAGCTGTTGTGGCTAATGGTGACATCCAAGACTTGCTGAGATACTGAAACCTTTGTTTTAGCCTGCATAACTGGCGTTTTATGAGCCAAGCGAGGCGAACACGGCATTTCTTGCGAATTGCGTTCGCCTCGGTTGGCTCATAAAGGGCCTGTTATGCAGGCTACCCTTGTTTAAAGAAGTGAGAACTTGTAGGAAGACGTTTGAAATTCTGAGAGCGAAAAAAACGTGCAAAAAAAGGAATTATGTCCAGTACACTTTAAGTGAGCCCAAAATCAGTAATTTATACCCCTCAGCTGGACGAATGGGCCATCCCTATCCTTTTTCATGTGGTCGGAGATCTCCCCGGGAAATGACCTCCGTCTTGTAAAGAGATGACTATGAAAGATGCAAGTATCAGACTCATCAGAGAAAATGGGAAAACAACTGGCAGGTACAAAACACAAGTCACAAGTGCAGGTCACTGCTCTATTGATAGATACCTGAGATAAGCAGTTTTCCCTTAAGCTAAAAGTCTTTCGCGGATTGTGATCAGCGCTAAGAGACACTTTTACTTTTTACTTGTACTCTAGCCCGCCTTTGTTACCTGTAACCTGTGACCTGCATTTTGTAGCTGTCGGTCGGGGAAAATGAGGAGAGTTTTGACTTAATTGGAGATCCTGCATGTTTTATTTAAAAACCCATAGTGACCATACTTCGAAGGTATTCGAATGTCATGTGTATATTTCGAGTGTGTGACATCAATGTCTCCCTCGAGGTAACCAAAAGATCCCAATTTCTTTTTTAGATAAATTACTGAGCCTGAGAGGCGTTTTGTCGGCGGCGGCTTTCATAACGCTGCCAAAGGTTTATGTTTAAATTTATGAAAAGCATGCTGTCTTGCAATCAATTGCAGCCGCGAGCGTAGCTGCCTGCCATTAAGCCTGCGCTTAAGTTCAAAGAAAGTAAGTTTATTATATTGAAGCCCAGGGAACTAATAAAGCGAAGCTGAAATCAAGGAATTTCGTAGTTTAATACGCGGGAGTTTGGCTGTAGAAACCTGGAATTGCTTAGAACATGAATAGATCAAAAACATGATGGTAGACCTCTGCAGTAGTCTCAGTGCTTGCCGGGAAGTCTGTGAAAACAGGCGACATTTGGCGGGAAATCACTGTCACTACGGAAGCCTCGGCCCCCGGAGAGGAAACTTGTTGAAATGCTAGGTTGTTTGATATAACGAGTAAAATCAAAGTTTTGACAAACATCTGTTCAAAATGCACTGTATTTAGGTTGGCAGAGAGAAGTAGACAAACTTCAATGACAAAAACTTTTTAAGTATGTTCTAATTGCCTTGAATTTAATAGTCATCATCAGTGGACATCAATGAGCTGGTCGTCCGCAAATGGTTCGTATCCTTGCTTTTTCGACATCGTCGCTGTTGTTATTTGTATACAGGTAAGCCTTTTGTAGTATAAGAATTGATATAATTTTTGGAGTTGGTGTACGCCGCCCAAATTAAATGAAAGTATAATGAGGGTCTTAAAAGAAACTTAAAGTAGGTTTCCGGTTAGGAATTTGGTTTCCCCTTTTCATTTAAGCTGCTTACTAATTCATGCATTGTAAAAGGAATCTGACCTGTAAATAGGAAGGGTAGGCTGGTGGGCTTCAAAACCCCAATGTTTTAAAACATGAGAGAGATGGTCAGAGAAGTTAGAGAAGTAGGCTGTATAGAGCAGGCGCGGATCTAGGATAAATACTGGCCGATTTTCTAAACGAGCGCAAAAGGCGTAAGCTTCTAAGGGAGTCCGGGGGCAGGCTCCCTGGGAAATGTTTCGGATTTCAACCCCTTAAAGTCCCCCTTCCTGGGTTTTCGAGTCTTTCAGACAGGATATTGGCCAGGTTTCAACTTGGAAAGTGTGTTTTATCATTAAAAATATATTTATTATGCAAAAATCTGACCGATTTCCTTAAAGCGGTGGAAGCAGATGGGGATCCGCACCAGTAGAGGATCAAAAACAAATATCAAATCACACGACTTAATTACACTTGTCACTGGAATCCCCCATCCATCCACCCACTAATTATAGCCAAACAGTAGGCATGAGTGGGGGCTTTCATGGGGCTTGGGCAGTTTACTTCTGCTTCAGGGGGTGGGAAGTAAGGTAGTTACAAGTGATTTACCTTGCTTGACAAGTATTTTTTCTTTCCCTTAGCTGGCCCCTGTTGTTCAAATGTTGAATAGTGCTATCTATCGGATAGCCTGCATGGCCGGAAATCAGATTAGCTTCGCTTTAAGTAGGAAATGAAAATTTCATATGAGCATAGTAATAAAAGTAGTTCTGCTGTACACCATTTGGTTTTGCTCAGTGACTAGCTGTTACCCCACCTTTCCCCAGGGAGGAAGGATGATGGTTTAGTAATTATACTGCTTGATAATTCTTGCCTCGTTCTCTTTCCTACAAAGTTGTAAAAGAGTCCTCATCTTTATTGGTTGAGTCAAAGGTTCAAGTTAAAAACTTTTCCTGAGAGGAATGAATATTGCTCTTTCTTTAGCACAACAGAATACCTAAACTCATGGTACCTTGCAATCTACTTGTCCTTTTCTTAATGGCATGAAATGTTAACATCAGCGGTATCTTTTTGCATAATATTGCCGAGTAAAAAATGTCACCCCATATCATCATGTTTCAATTTTCTTGCCCTTGATCACCACCTCCCACTGCTATTAAAATGGGTAACCTGTGACCTGTTGTACTGGTTCAACCTCATCCCCAGGGCTTTTCACAAAGAGAGAGCTCTGCATGGGGACGAGGTGGTGGTAGTGGGGGGGGGGGTACTTTCTTCATATTAAATAAGCTACAGGATTGGTGTTCAGAAAGAGAGGGTAGATTTTTTTTGCATTAGCAACAATTAAGAGGCTACAGTTTTAGCTTTCTTAAGTTTCATATCATTGCTGGTTTTTATATTTAAAAAAAAAGCACTTTATTTGAGTGTCAATGTATTAAGCACGAAAGTGCTAGTTGGGGACACTATATTTACGGGATATTGACGGGACCGCCATTTTACGTGGTCATCCGAGCCATGCGAAGGTCCAGCCGCCTGCAGGGCAAAGGCAGTACGTTCATTTCTCAGTTATTTTAAGACCGTGAGTATTGGTCCGGCCCCAGGAATCGAACCCGCAACCTCCCGCTCTGCAGTCAAGCACTCTACCAACTTAGCTAATCCTGCCGCAGTATATGACAGTAATAATGCTCAAATGACAGTTATCGATCATCCTTTCTTAGTTTTCAGTTTAACAATGTGCTAGAGGGTCTGGTCCTGATTGCTCAAGCAAGTGGCCCAGCCTGCCTCCTCATATAACACAACAAAATTTTTATGAGGAAGGCAAGCAAGGCATGAACTGAGCCAGCCCAGTAAAGCAAGCCTGCAGCCTGGTTAACCAGGCTGGCTCACCCATTTAAGCATGCCCTTAGTTGTTAATATCAGTTCAGTTTTAACCATGTGTGTAACTTAGCACTTTGACCTAGCCCCACTCCATTAATGAATAGTTCCTCAAATCACAAATGTCACTATTATTTTTTTTTAATTATTATAGTATTCTTGCAGGTTTTTCAAACATGAAAAGGATCAAGAGCAGAGAAGGCTGTTAGAAAGCCATGAAAGTACAATCAGCTGATACCTTTGTCCAGGATTGCATGGTAAGCCAGTTAACTAGGCCATTAAACTTTCATACTGTTTCACCAGGTTTTTGTGGACCAGTATATTTTTAGATACATTGATTTTAGAGCAGTTTCTCCTTTAAAAATGGAAGCTTTGCTCTGTCTATGAGCTCATTCTAAGTATAAGCTGTGAAAAAGGAGAACTAACATCCTTAGAAGGTAAAAAATACCATTTTCAGGTCTGTAGGTTTTGCTGACTGAATTGTGGGCTTACAAAATATTATTCTGAATTTGTGCCAAAATTGTGGGTAATAAACACACCGTTTTGTTGGCTCCTGACTGTAGATGAAAAGTAACGTGTTCTTCATTCAATGTAAAGAATGGGTCAATTCATGAAAATAGAAATTAAAATGACTAAGTTGGGATAATTTGCGAAAATTACATATTTGCCCAAAAGTGACTAAGATGGGGTCCATAATTGGCCTCAGCAGCACATACCCAGCAAAAACTAACCCAAGTACCCCCCAGGGATTTTTCATTTGACATCTTAGAGTAAATTGTTTAATTTGTCCAGCTGGTTTAAGAGGCTATGTCTTGAGGATATTGCTGTTTTAGGTCAATTCTTTGGTACTGTCACTGACTTGGTGGCTTTACCCATACACAAAAATATGTTCTGTTAGAGATATGAAGTAGCAACAGTGGTTTCATTATTAGCACCGACAACCGACAAAATGTGTCAGCTACATTTCTCAGAGAAGTTGGCTACTTTTTTCCCCCAAAGGAGCAATTAGTTTGAATAATGTCATGGACAAAAATACAAGTTGTTCAAGTGAAAATGTATGTAACTTTTAAATTACATACAGTATCATTTGTTATGTAATCATTATGATTTGTTACATGTAAGTTACATAAATTATCGTTTGTTCATTGCTTGTAGGAGTTAATTGTGTCAGTAATAAATCAAAATTTGACTGAAAGCCAAATCAGTTCTTGAATTAGAAACACGCTTTTTTATACTCAGTTTAGTCCCCTGAGCGCGGGTAATCACTTTTTAGGAATTGGCAATTTTAAAATTTTCTGAGGGAGCATACTTGCCCCTTGTTGATACAGTTGGTTACTCTATTCAATAATGCTGGCTACTTCAGTTTCTATTGAAACCCCTGAAGATCAAATAAATTTCATCAGAAAGCGCTTATCATAATAATTTTTTGTTCGATTTTTTGTAGCATTTCTTTTCAGACTCTAAAACAAGGGATACAGTTATAAAAGTTTTATCAAATTGATCCCTAAAGAAGGCTCGTCTGGCCAGCTGAAAATCGTTCGAAAACGGTTTTTAATACATGTTGTTAGCAGCTTTGCAGTTCTCAATATTTTTATTTTTAGCTGATTAGATCTCTGTCTAGATTACTAGACATCTGTACATTGTCTGGGTAACTTTAAAATGGAAATAATACTGTTTTGCAATGTATGAATTTTTGTCTCTTTATATACTGGTAGTTTACTTAACTATTTGTGTGTGTTTCTCTGTTTTCTTTGTTCTTGTGTCCCTGACCTAAACATTTAAACATCTTTTCTTTTAACTGGCTGCCTGGCATTTTTAACTCGTAGGTTATTTCGGGCAGCCAGCGCCCCTATCATCGTCTGTACTATTGTTATAAGTTTTTATTTCTTGTATATTATGGGGTGAAATAAAGTGTTGTTGTTGTTGTTGTTGTTGTTTAAAAGTGACGTCATCATAGTGACCTCTTTTATACGGGGCACCTTTCTAATACGAACACCTCCCTCTGTTCCTTCGGTGTCCGTATTAGAGAGGTTCGACTGTACTGGTCAAAACATTCCCCGCGCTTTTTCTCTTCATACGCGCGCGCGACGATCTCTAAAGGTAAAACAGGGGACGCGATCCATTCAACCAAAATTCAGACCGGTCCGACCGGGAAAAGAGGACCACCTCAAAAAGTGGACCAGTTTTTTCGAAACTTTTCCGGTTGGACCGAACGGATCCATTGAGTTGTGGACCGAAATTTCCGGAAATTTAGTTGAATGGATCGCGCCCCAGGTCTTAGTGAAAAGGGTGACTCTAAGGAGGTTTGTTATTATAAAGGCCAAGTGAAAATAGTTTGAGCAGAGCTCCGGCAAAAGCCATAGAGTTTCTAACAGAGAAAAATTCCTTTACAGTGATTCTTTGCCGTGGGCCAGAATTAAGAGAATTCTAGAGCTGCCTGGGAAACATGAAACAAATGTTTTGCGTGCGAAGTTCCGCGATCACGATAGTTGATCAAACATAGTCATGGTACTATTAAATAGTTGGTTATTGCTTTTTCTAATGTGGTGGCTCCTAAAAGAGCCGTTTGTTTGTAAGAAGTATCGCACTTTACTTCTTCTTTGCTGGAGATTTTTTGGCGGCAGATTTCTTAGCGGGCTTTTTGGCGGCAGGCTTCTTTGCGGGTGCCTTCTTCGCAGCTTTCTTGGCCGCTGGTTTCTTTGCTGCCGGCTTTTTCGCTGCCGATTTCTTGGGCTTCTTGCTTGGTGATTTCGTCGCAGTCTTCTTTTTAGCCGCTTGCTTCTTTGCTGCGGGTTTTTTAGCCGCTGGTTTCTTTGCTACCTTCTTGGCGGCGGGCTTCTTTGGCTTCTTCGCTGGTTTTTTCTCCTTCTTCTCCTCCTTGGCCACCTTGAAGGACCCAGATGCACCAACACCTTTGGTGTGTAGCAACTTTCCACTGGCAGCACCTCTCTTGAGAGCCATCTTCAAGTGCGAGCCGACCTCACCAACCTTGTAGTTGGCTTTGATGTACTTCTCGATGGCTTGGCGCGAAGAACCGTTTCGCTCTTTCAGAGCGACGATGGCAGCCTTGATCATTTCAAGATATGGTGGATGCTCAGCTGGCTTTTTAGGCGCAGCTGGCTTCTTTTTAGACGGTGACTTTGCTTCAGACATGACGAAGAAGTTTGATCGATACCTTCGGAAACGATAGAACTGAAGACTCGAAGGCTTGGACAGTGATGTATATGAGGTCTATGCGGACCACTGAGGAGACAGCAATGGAACATGGCGCACGATGATTCTGTGCTAGTTTACTGAAAATTTCGACGAATAAAGTGATGTAACACCGTAGTTTATTCCTTCTAAAGTGTAAAAACTAAAATAAATTGATCAAAGATTTATTTGCCAAACGTACGTGCGAATTAAGGCATTTGAAGGAAGAGGTGGATAGCTTTTTATTCTTTAACTCCATAGAATCTTGTACGTATTTCATCTTTAAAGTCCTTTATCTTTTGCGCTTGGTACTTTCTTTCTCTTTTGAGACATTTACAAGATGATATAACTCCCATACTTCAATCATCTGTCTTTAATTTCTGCAATTTGCTTCATTTAGTATGGTTTAAATTCTCTTTCGTCAAGAGAACAAGGACAAACTCCTTGGCCGCCATTTGCAAGATCAAAGCTCATCAAGATGACCGTGCACAGAAGAGCATCAAAAAAACGGTCTCCGAGCATTCTCCTTTCATCGTTGTCTTTAGTTGCGAATGAAGAACGGCACATTTCTTTTCCTTTCCTATGAAGATGTTAAATATAAACTGGTGATTTTCTAGCTATTAATGCAGTGGATTGAACATGGAGCAGCTGTCAGAGCTTCTTAAATCACCCTCAAGGACCTTAAGTCACCCACCAACTCAATTCTCACAAACACTCTTCGACTTGAAGGGTTTTTTATTGGCATGTGTTTCTTTACTGCCTTTTCTTATGCGATACTCAATAAGCTAAATGGAAGTCTCTTTAAAAACACATTAAAGCAAAAATCAAAAGTAAACTGAACTAGTTTTGTTGAGGGAGAATCCTTGTGATTTGCCTAAACTTTTTGCCAAATGTATTCCACAAATTTCGATTGGGCTTAAAGAAAG